GTCCGAGCGACCCACTGCGGAATAACACCGCCGGCGAGGGTGGTAGGTGCCTCCACGCCCATGACGACCGCGAGCGACCTCGCCTCCACCCGCAGCGCCTCGACGTCCTCGTCGGTCTGGCCCCCGAACACGTAGACCTGGCCTCGAACCCCCGCAAGGGCACACACCACCGCGCTTGAGGGCCACGATCCGGTGGTCGCTGAAGTCCAACACAAAAACCTCGTCATCAGGATTGGCTGCCACCCTGACCCGGGGACCCATGAGCCGATGGCGTCACCTGAAATTGTCGCCGTCGTCGCCATTGTCGAAAGTTACACAGACCTGGACTTCATGCGCGTCGAGGGTTCGTTGGGCAGCTATGTTGGCGGGGAGGCAGCGCACGCGCGGACTGCGCGCAAGTTGGGCCCACCCCCCGCTGGCCCCCGGCGAAGACCCCCATCGACCACCAGCTCGACGCCCTCGGAGAGCTGACGATCCTGCGCCTTGCCGGGCGCACCGGCCCGCCGGCGGCCCAGCCGAGCCCCCGGGTGACCGTGCCCAGGCCGTTGCCGGCGGTGGCGCCGACGCCGAGGGCGGCTGCGACCAGCCACCAACCTGGCCCGCTCCCGCGGGGTAAAGGGTGCACGCCCGGCGGAGCGAGCGGCGCCGTCGCGCGCCGCGCGCGACCGGCGGCGGCGCCGGGCACGCGGCGCAGGGCGCGCACGCAGTGTGCGCTCCCCGGGGGAGCACGGCAGCCACGCAGGCGCCACAGACGCCGCCCGCCTGCTGGCCGCGGCCAGGGCGGCGACCATTCGCGGCCGGGGGCCGCGGCGCTCCAGGGGAGCGGGCGGGCCAGAGAGCAGCGGCACCAGCAGGATGTGCGCGGCTCTGCTCAGAAGCTGCCGTTGCCACTCGATGTTAGGAAAACGAGCCTGATACAATTGATCGCCAGAAGTTCGTCTTCGGCCTGGACGGCAATAAGTCATATTGCTAGGGCTCGGCTCGGCGGTACTGACTACCAGCCCCTACTCACGCTTGCGAAGCAACAAAAAAGCAATATCGTGCTCAACTAACGCGTCTCTCGGGGAACGGGGACGACGACACCGAGGGCGAGGAAAGAGTGAGGAAGCAGATGAGATGGTGAGGAGAGGGGGCACCAACAAGAAGGAGAGAGAAGAGTTTCAGGAGGAAGAGGAAGACGACGGCGGCGGCGACGACTGCGGCGGCGACGACGGCCCGCGGCGACGACGACGGCGGTGGCGACGACAGCGGCGACAGCGACGCGGATGAGGACCGGGCCTGTGGCCGCGCAAGCGCGGCAGGGCTCTTCTGCAGGGCGGGGGGCTGAAAAACGGCGTCTCGGGGGCGAGCGCGGCTACTTCCCTCTTGTGCCAATCCTCGAGGCCTCCCAGGGGGGGCCCGAGCAGGTGGGGTCGAAAGGTCGCGCCGCATCGCCGATGCATCGGCGACGCCAGCGTGGAGAAAATGTGGCTCCACATCGAGCCGCATCGCCGACGCATCGGCGATACGACACGATCCTTGAGCAGGGACCGATCGTCCCAGCATTTCTTTAGGCCTACCACAACATGTTCTTAGAACCCCAACATGCTTTAAGAACAGTGGCGCTTTCTCATAACATAAGCCCGATGTGTTAAAACAACACAATATCAGCCAGAAATGTTCTAAAAACATTCCGTGATAACCCAAAACAGGTCTCATAACATTGTTTGGTAGGCCTATAGGCACGCCAGGACGTTTCGCCACTGCTTGAGGTCCTCCTGCCCCATCTCTTCCGACCCCATCTTGGAGTCCTAGAGATCCACTGCCCGGCCCCCTGCTGCCCTCACCAGCGACAGTCATATCTCGGAGCGCCAGGATCTCAGGATGCCCGAGGAGGAGGAAGAGGAGGAGGAAGAGGAGGACGAGGAGGAGCAGGAGGAGGAGGGGAGGAATAGGAGGAGTGGGAGGAGGAGGAGAAGGAGGAGGCGGAGAAGAGGGAGGAGGAGCAGGAGGAGGAGGAGGAGGAGGAGGAGGAGGAGGAGGAGGACAAGAAGGAGAAGGAGGAGAGGGCCAGTCGAGTCTCGGACGAGGGCCCGTCGAGAGGCCACGGCGGCCCTCTCTGGCGTGCTGTTGCCCTCCGGGCCTCCTGGAGGCCCGTCGTCGCCAGGGCTAGATCCACCTCGAAAGCAGGTCTAAGTCAGGCCTGTTCCCTTACAGGCGGATTATGGACGAAAAATAACAAATAATCCAAAACATACCCTCAAATAACAAAACATACTCAAAACAATCGTCCCAAAACTATTTTTTTACTATTTTTGAACCTTCCCCCTGTAGAGGGACAGGGCCGACTTATGGCTAGATCCATCTCGAAAACGAGTCAATATGGACCCTGGGCGGGGTCCCGGGTCCGGGGACCGATTGCGAGCGGAGTCGGGCCAGGCGGGAGAGCAGACGTTGTCCCAACTGGCCCATCTCCGATTTTTCCTCCTCTCGCGAGCGGCGACCAGATCAGCGTGCGTGCCTTCGCGGCCGAGGCGCCATCCCGTGGACACGATCTGCTCGGGGCACGCGTGCAGAGCCGCCCCGCGCGTCCATGGGGTTGCGGCCGGGGAGCCTTGGACCGCGGGCCATGGATATATCGATGCCTCCGCGAGAGCGCCACTCCCCCCTTTCTCCCCCGCCCTTTGCCATCGCCCTCTCGTTTCCCTCCGAGTCTCTTCGCTCCTCCACCCTCCTCCCCCTCCCCCTCCTCCTCCTCCTCCTCCTCCTCCTTCTCCTCCTCCTCCTCCTCCTCCATCCCTGTTTCTTCAACCAACTCCTCACTGCCGGACCCCGAGACGTGTCGGTAGGGCGGGCTCGGCGCTTCGCTCGAGACGTCCTCACCATGCATAGCCCTGAAATTTGAAATGTACAGCAGCTTCAAGGATGGAGGGTGGCCCGTTTTCAAAATGTGGCTTCCGCCTGAGCGCCGCGCACAGTCGTTTGAACGTTTGCCGAAGCATAACAGATGGAGGGCGGGCCGTCTTCAAACTGTGGCTCTCTTCTTAGCATCGCACGCGTTCGTTTGAAAGTTGGCAAGAGCTTCACGGATGGAGGGCGGGCCGTTTTCAAAATGCGGCTCTCGGCGAAGCTCCTCTCACATTCGTCTGATAGCTTACAAGAGTTTCACGGGTGGAGGGTGGCTCCTTCTCAAAATGTGGCTCTCGCCCTAGCGACGTGCGCATCTGCCTCTTTAAAGTTCCAGGCTCAATGGTCATTATGGCTAGCACGTCCCATAAGTTGTGTTCAAACACGCGTTGGGATTGTCAGTGCGCAGCAGTCACGTTGATTCGCGGTACTGAATTCCCAGGAATGGTTTCTTGCGCGATTCGGGATCGTCAGGGCGCCACAGTAACTTGATTCCCGGGTGTTTTGGTGCGGTTGATGATTTTCAGACGGTTGTCTTCCAACGGCGCACTTTCCGCAGATAGGAACATCCTTGCAAGGACATCTGAAACGAAAATTTGGAGGGAGGGTTTATTGCAACTTCGTTGATGCGTAATGGGTTTACACTGGTCTTCCTCCTCTTCCTCCTCCTCCTCCTCCTCCTCCTTATTCACCTTCTCCTCCTCCTTCTCCTCCTCCTCCTCCTCCTCCTCCTCCTCCTCCACATCATCATCTTTCCCGTCATCATTCGTATCCTCCCCGTCTTCCCGAATTGTTGCTCAAAGGGTCCTGCCACAGCTAACAGGGTCACGGCCTTGGTTGACCTTGATTGTTCGGTTCTCTGGCAGTTAGCTATCGGGCTTCCCCATTGGATCGTCACATCAACTGTCCACTCAGTGCTCCATCCCCAGCGGATCGCCACAATCTTGACGGGTGGATGTGCGCGGGCTGCCATCCTGCAGGACCCCGACTCCACTCATGGCTTGAAGCTTCACGGAGCAGCACTGACTCCCAACCTGGGCAGACTCGAAGTGGACTCCAGCCACTGCCATCTCGCCTCGCCCCGCAGACCTCGAGCCTCGGTGCTCGAACCTTGAGCTTCCAGGGCGCGCCGCCGAGGAGGGCCTCGGGCGCGCCTCCGACCGGCATCGGCGACGTCGACGAGGCATCGGCGACGCGGGCGTGGAGAAGACTGGCCAACCTCGGCCAGGCCGGCGGCCCAGGGTGGTTAGGCCGCCAGCGGTGAGGCGCCGGCAGCAAGCACGACCGCCGCTACGCCAGGGTGGGCGGGAGGGCGAAAGCCCCGCGGGTGCGAGCGCCACTGCTGCGGCCCCTCCTCCTCCTCCTCCTCCTCCTCCTCCTCCTCCTCCTCCTCCTCCTCCTCCTCCTCCTCCTCCTCCTCCTCCTCCCCCATCCACGAGGGCGCAGGCGTAGGACGGTCACTCATCGTCCTGCATCCTGCCTGATTTTTTGATCGGCTACTGCCCCAGGGCAAGCGGGCGGAGCTCACAGCACTGTGCGCGTGGGGACCGCCGCCCCGTCGAGGCCCTACCAAATCAGCAGGTACCACTACCGCCAGGACCCCTGGCCTCTCCCGGAGTGCGCTCTGACCAGCAGCTCGAGTTGAGTCCAACGGTGGCGACGAGGGCCTCCCAGGTGGCCTACAGAGGCGGAAACGAGGGTACGGTAGCAGTATCGGTACCTTTTCATCCTCTGGCTCACAGCACTATGCGCGTGGGGCCCGCCGCCCCGTCGAAGCCCCACCAGTTACCGTCCAGCAGCTGCCGGAGGTGCTGACGGGCTCCGCGGTGCCCCCTCTCGGCCGAGGCGTGCAGCAGCGGCACCGCCCTCGCCGCGTCCGTCTCGCAGCCGACCCCCTCCAGCAGGCAGTCCGCCATCATGAACATCCCCGCCGAGTGGCCCTGCTCGGCAGCCTCCGGCCGGCCAACGGTCACGGGGCAGGCCAACACACAGGAGGAGGGGGCGCACCCCTCGCCGTCCCAACCGCTCCCTGGAAATGGACCCTGCTTGGACCACCTGAGGGCAGAAAATGCTCGCCGAAAACAGACATTGCCCACTGTCGGCAAACATGATTGAAAACACAAGTTTCCACTGAAGACAATGAACAAAACAACACTGAAGGCAAAAACGAGTTGCCTTCAGTACGTTCTAAGAAACATCGCCTTCAGTAGACTCTTGGTCGGACCCCCGCGCCTGGCGGAAGCAATCAAAGGCGGCAGGCTCGTCCTGGGAGGGACCCAAAGACCAACAAGGACCGGGCAGGACCTCCCCCGTCCACCCCCATCTATCTCTCTCTCTCTCTCTCTCTCACTTTCTCCCCCCCTCCTCCTCCTCCTCCTCCTCCTCCTTCTCCTCCTCCCCCTCCTCTGGCTCCTCCTCCTCCTCCTCCTCCTCCTCCACCACCTCCTCCTCCTCCGCCTCCTTTTCCTCCTCCTCCTCCCTCTCCTTCTCCTTCTCCGCCTCTTCCTCCTCCTCCTTCTCCTCCTCCTCCCTTGCCTCCTCCCTCTCCTACTCCGCCTCCTGCTCCTCCTGCTCCTCCTCCTCCTCCTCCTCCTCCTCCTCCTCCTCCTCCTCCTCCTCCTCTCCTCCCTCATCATCATCCTTCTCCTTCGCCCTTCTCCTCCCTCTCCTCCCTCTTCCGCCTCCTCCTCCACCTCCTCCTCCTCCTCCTCCTGCTCCTCCTCCTACTCCTCCACCTCCTCCTCCTCCTCGTCCTCCGTCCCCCCCTCCTCCCTCCTCCTCCTCCTCCTCCCCTCCTCCTCCTCCTTTCTTCCTCCTCCTCCTCCTCCTCCTTCTCCTCCTCCTCCGCCTCCTCTGCTCTCCCTGGGAAGGGGTTTGGGGAGGGAGTTGCTGGCTGAGGTCTACCCTGGGCCGTTGACTTCCTCCTCCAGCCCTGCCCCGCCCACCAGCAGCAAGGTCCCCAGCTCGTACCAGGCCTGTGCACTGCCCCGCGCGCAAGCCGCCCGCAAGAGCCGCACGCCGTGCTCGTCGTCGGAGCCCGCGACATCCTCGACCAAACACACGGCCAGCGCCACCGTGCTGTCCAGATCCCCCGCCTCCGACATGGCTCGGTACATGGCCACGCCCTCCGGAGGGTCCCCCTTGCCTTCGCCGACCGACGGGCCAGGGGAAGGCCCAAGGCACCCAAGAGGTTCTGACGGAGGAGGCACCGAGACCGAGAGGTGCTCATCCAGGAGGGGCCCGCCCCGAGGGCTACCCGGAGACCACGCGGGCGCCCACGGCGCCGACGTGTCTCGCGGAGCTTCTCCGATCATCGCGCGAAGGCTCCCGTCCGCTTCCCGCCACCCCCCCGCGGGCCCTTTAGCCAGCGTGCTACCATTAGGAACCCCGAATCATGATCGAAGGGGATGCCCTGGCAAACGAGCCTCGGTCACGAGAAGGTTCCCCGACCTGGAACCGAGGAACGGCCCGAAAGCCGGAGCCCCTCCTTCCAACGGTGGTCCACAGTCCAGCGCCTTGACAGCACCCCTTGGCCCCGACCGCCCCCCTCCCCACTCGAAGGGCCACCCCTGGACTTTCAGTCGGCCGCGTGCCGAACGCCAGCGCGGTGGCCAGGTCGAACATCGTCCGAAGGCACTTGTCCGGGGCGGGCTGGCCAGGCAGGGGGCACCGGTCCGCTCGGAGCTGGTCCCTCAGGCCCTGTGCCTCGGTAGCCTCTTGGGGAGTGGCCGAGCAGGGCAGGACTGAAGGAGGGAGAGGAGGGAGAGGTGGATTCCTCCATGCACCCCCTTCTCCCTCCCACTAGCTCGCGGCAGGACGATTGAATACGAAAGCAAAACGAGATGAACTGCTACAGATGAGCGCCCAAGGGACAATTGCATCAACCAACCAAGAACATGGCGAAACAAGTAAACGCGCACTCGGGAAGGAACGTAAGAGAAAGGACCTGCTGACTGCAACTGACACCTTGACTGCTTATGCCCATCCCGAGTCCTGAATGAGATCCGCAAAACCCTCGTTCGGAGGTTGACAGGTGGTCCTGCTCCAAGGTGCCCCCAGCCTTTCGCGCCACTCTTTTCGAGCCCCTGGGGCCCTCTGGGCCTCGTGAGCGGTGCTTTGGAGGCGACCCGGGCATCCCTGAAGAGCTGGGGACACACTGGGCCAGGGCCACCTCTGGCAACACACCAGTCGTGGCCCCAGGATGGACACGGCCAACTCTTGGAGGCCTCCCAGATGGGGTCCGGGTAGATGGGGGTCGGAGGATCGCGCCGCATCGCCGATGCATCGCTCGGCGATGCATCGGCGATGCACCGGCGATGTCGGCGATGCATTGGCGCCGTCGGCGTGGCGATAGTCGGGCTCCGCATCGCCGATTCATCGGCGATGCGGCGCGATCCTCCGACCCCCATCTACTCCGACCCTATCTGGGAGGCCTGGAAACACGCGGGTGGCGCCCCTGGAACCCTCCGAGCGGAAAGGAAGGAGCCCTGGGACACACAAATAAATAGACACAAATAATCGAGTTCCCCATAATTATGTTCCCATATTTCCTGTGTTTTCGTGTCCCCCCCACTTTCCATGTTTTTCACATATTTTCGTGGGAGTCGACGATTCCTTGTGTCTGTGTTTTTTCCCCTCCGAGCGGAAAGGAATGCCTTCGGCTGCCGCGGCGGCCACGCCCTCGGCGGGAGCTGCGCCCAGCCCTTCTCCTCTGGAGAGGGCGCCAGCTGTGCATGCACACCGACCCTGGCTGGGCCCACCCTGGACCCGGGATCGAATCTGGACGCCCCCGTGGCCTAGCCTGGAGAGCATAGGGTATACGCGTAGAAGTGTTATATATCTCGGGGATGGACAGAGACCCCCTTTAGTACAACGTCGTTCAGCGAGAACGACCTCGGGCCCAAACCTGGCGGGCGCAAGCCTGGAAAATGACAGCCGCGGCGCCCTCTCGAGAACCGACGACGGACAATTCACTAATCGACGTGTCAGGGTGGGGGTTTTGTCCAGCCCCCGATATATATATATATATATATATATATATATATGCATACATACATACATACATACATACATACATACCTACATGCATACATACATACATACATACATACATACATACATACACACACATACATACATACATACAGACAGACAGACAGACAGACAGACAGACAGACATACATACAGACATACAAACATATATACACACACATATATGTATAGACATATATATATATATATGTGTTATGTGTGGGGAGCTGCACGCATGCATACGCACATGCATAACTGCATACACACCGATATCGTACTTACATACATGCACATCGATGTATATTCCATATCTATGTACATATTGAGAACATCCGTACGTGAGCAGTCCCGCATACCGTTGGCGCTTGAGGGCTTCCTCCCTGGACTGCTTGAGGAAATGGATGGGTGTGCCGCGGTTTTGCCTAGTGCTCGTCGGCGTCCCGTGCTGGGGGAGTGTACCAAAACTCGCCCGGTGCGGAGGAGGGAGAAGAAGGAGGACGACGAGGAGGATGAGGAGGAGGCGGAGGAGGAGGATGATGCGGAGGAGGAGGAGGAGGAGGAGGAGGAGGCGGAGGAGGCGGAGAAGGACGAAGAGGAGGAGGAGGAGGAGGAGGAGGAGGCGGAGGAGGACGAAGAGGAGGAGGAGGAGGAGGAGGAGGAGGAGGTTGCGGAGGAGGAGGCGGCGGGGGAGGACGAAGAGGAGGAGGCGGAGGAGGACGAGGAGGAGGAGGAGGAGGAGGAGGAGGGAGGGAGGAAGATGAAGAGAAGGAGGAGGCCTGGTGCCCGCCGCTGGCTCCCTCGTTGGCGCCTCGTGCGCCGGGTGGGCGTGCCGAAGTTTCGCGCCCAGGGCCCGGCCGCGGCCGCCCGTGGCCGCCTCGTGGGCGCCTCGTGCAGCGGGTGGGCGTGCCGAGGTTGCGCCCCGTGGGGTGGGCGGCCGCATCGCTGCCACCACGTGGGCGCCTCGCTCCCACCACGTGGGCGCCTCATGGGCGCCTCGTGGGCGCCTCGCTCCCACCACGTGGGCGCCTCGTGGGCGCCTCGTGGGATGGGCGGCCGCATCGCTCCCACCACACAGTTTGCACCACGCAGAGGGCACCACACAACGTGCACAATAGTTAGCCTGTACTGCGTAGCTTACGCACCACACAGCTCACACCACAGAGATGCAAGACGCCACAAGACTTACACCACACAGCCTGCGCGAGATCTATGACAACGCACGCGCAGATCACACCACATCGCTTGCACCACGTAGCTTGCACCGCGTACCTTACACCACGTAGATTGATTGCACTGCATAGCTTGCACCACATAGGGTTCATCACATGGTTTGCACCTCCTAGCTGACACGACATCACTTGCACCACGTAGCTTGCACCACACAGCGTACATACCCACGGTGCAATAACCTCCTCTTGTGGTCAGCGCTGCCACACCTGTAATCTAACAATACGCACGGATCCTGAGTCCAGCATGGGCCCGGCCAGGGTCGGTGCATTCGGAGGCCACTACTGAGTCACTACTGGGAGGTCTTCGTCGGAAGGAATAAGGAGGATTGAGCCCCATTGGGGGGCTACCACGCCGGATTACGCCGCGGATGAAGCGGCATTAAGCCAGATCAACCGGGCTTAAGTGGGAATATGCCGGATTAAGCTGGATTTCGGACCAGGGCAAAGTCAGAATTCAACCTCCCTGGAGTAGCATCCGAAGGTGCATGTGTGCACAGCTCTCGCCGCCCGACGTCTCCTCCTCGATCCAGCGCTCGCGCATCGCCGCCTCCGCCGGCCGCAGAGGGCAGGGGGCCACAGGCGAACCCCACCCTATACCCCCCACGACTTCCGAGGGGGAGGGTGGGGCTCCCTTCGTTCGGGAGTCCCGAGCAAAGGGAACCCCACCCCTCCCCTCAGAAATCGTGTGGGGGGGTACAGTAGGAGAAAAACAAACCTACCTCGCTTTTGACCACCCTCGCTTCCAAGAGATACCAAACGATGCCAAATTGCAGCCTGTACTGGTCAGGCCGCTTGACGAGGAGGCGCGTGGTATGGCTTGGTTTGCCTGGAAGCGAAAGCGGGGTAGGTAATTCACGCTCTGATATAGGGCAGGGTTCGCCGTGTGGCCCCCCCAGAGGGGCCAGCGCGTCCCGCAGCCGCTCCGCCTCGCGCTCGGCCCGCCCGGCGCTGCCGTGCTGCTCCGCGCGCGGGGCCCCCGGCGCCGCGCGGCTGCCGGCGACGCCCGCCGCCGCGGCCGCGGCCACCAGCGGCCACGAGGAGGCCGTCGTTTTATCTCCCGGGGGCGACGCTCACACGCACGATGAACTGAAGGGGGCTCTGGGACACACAAAGAAATAGACACAGGTAACAGGATCCCCCGTATTTCCCATATTTCCCATACCTATACGACCACCCTGCGGGTGATAAGGAGGTTGGGGGGGGGGAGGGGGGCCAGCAGTGGGCAACAGTGGTGATTGTTGCGTTGCCGCTCGCTCTTGGGACCATCGATCCCACTATCGATCTCACTCGATCGATCTCACTAATCATCGATCTCACTCGATCGACTTCACTGTCGATCTCACTCTGGATCTCGCTATCGATCCCACTATCGGTCTCCCTATCGATAACACTCGATATCACTATTCATCTCACTATCGATCTCACTATCGATCTCACGATCGATCTCACTATCGGTCTCACTATCGATCTCACTATCGATCTCACAATCGATTTCGTCATCGGTCTCCCTATCGTTTTCCCACCAACGGAACACAAATACACGGGCGGGACACCGGCGGGACACCAGCGGGACACCGCGGGCCACCGCTTGCCGGAGGGAGAATCATTTGGTCCTGCCGGGACCCAGCCACAAGCGGGACACCAGCGGGACACCGCGGGCCACCGCTTGCCGGAGGGAGAATCATTTGGTCCGGCCGCGCCTCAGCCACAGGAGATTTTCCTCTCGCCCGCCCACGCAGCTTCGCCTCGCCTCCACGCACGGCACGCAGGAACACGAAACCGAAACCGATTTCTCGGTGGGGGGCTCTCCGTTCCACTTCGATCCCACCCCCCAACCTCCGATTTTCTGGGTTTTTGTCTTCCCCCCAGTTCCCATTTTCCAATATTTTCTGGTGGAGGACGAAGAAGCGGAGGAGGATCCCTGTTGTCCCGTTATTCACGTTTCGGACGTTGCTGCATCCATGCTGCTGTGCTGCTGCTCTGTCCGCCAAGCCAAGATCCACTGCGCGTGCACGTCGCGCGCCTGGTCTGTCTTGCAACATTGAAGGGGCCCTGGGGCACACAAATAAACATACACAAATAACAGGATTCCCCATATTTTCTTATATTTCCTATGTTTTTGTCTTCCCCCCACTTCCCATATTCTCCTATATTTTCTGGGGAATCGACAATTCATTATGTCTGTGTGTTTTTTCCCTCCTGAAACATCTTGCCTCACTCCGTGGTCTCACGAGGAAGCTGGGGGAGGACGGAGGGAGGCTCCTGGGCGCGAGTCCCCTACATGTCCACGGCCTCGTGCACTGCACCCCTCGGCCGCGACCCCACAGCCAAGCATGGGGGCGGCCCTGCGCGGAGGCCCTGCGCAGGACGTACCCACGGGATCGCGCATCCGTAGGTTCGCGCCCCGGCGCGAAGGCCGCGGAGGTATCCTTTGAATTTCGGACGGTCCCAGGTCCCAGGTATCCTTTCCCTTCCTTGCAGGAGCAAGGAAAGGCGACACTAACACCACCAGGACGAGGGGATACGAGGAGGCAAGGGGGGTCTCCCCCCCTCGCTCGAGACATCCCCAGCCTCCAGCTCGGGGGGGGGGCGTCGTGACCTCCTCGCTGGAGGTGGGCCCCCTGGTGGTGTTGGTGCCGCCTCTCCTCCCGCCGACCTTGTGCATGGCGATGCACACGCTCGGCAAACTCCTCTCCAAATCGGACCTCGGGCACCTGCCGTGGCCGCGCCGGCCCAGCTCTTCACCCCAGCACGGTCTCCCGCGGACGGCCCCAGAGCCCGAGGACGACCTCAACGAGCGCCTCTCCTCCTCCTCCTCCTCCTCCTCCTCCTCCTCCTCCTCCTCCTCCTCCTCCTCCTTCCACAGCGGCACACAGGCGACGGGGACGACCGCCAACTTATGAGCCAACCGAGCGCGGAGCATGGAAGAAGGAGGAGGAGGAGGAAGAGAAGGAGGAGGAGGAGGAATGAGGAGGAGGAGGAGGAGGAAGAGGAAAAGGAAGGAGGAGGAGGAGGAAGGAGGAGGAAGGAGGAAGGAGGAGGAGGAGGAGGAGGCGAGGACAACGCCTCGATGCCTCCCTCTTCGCACTGCGCAGGCGGCGCTGCCCCCGGGCCTTGCAGGAGGGCCACCTCGAGGGGGCGCGCGAGGCCCGGCACAGCGCGAGGAGCCGCATTGGCGGGCCGCGCCCTTCGCCCGCCGGGAGGGGGCCTCGCGGCCGGCGGCCCGGCCCGCGGGAGCGGGGCCTCGAGCGGGAGCGCCTGCCGAGGTCCTCTCCCGTCGTCCTGGAGTTCGCCCTGCTCGTCGTCGTCCGCCTGCCCCTTCCATCATCACCACTCCTCCCTCTCCCACCAGCTTCTCCCTCCTCCTCCGCTGTTCCCTCCTCCTCCTCAGGCTCCTCTCCCTTTTCCTTTGTGCCAACGGCAACACACTAGACGATCTTAGAATCAAGCGTGGCTGAGATGGCTTGCTTGTGCGGGAGAGGACAACAACTCCTCAGTCCCCACTCCTGCCTGTCACACCACCAGGCGTGTCATGAGGCGATTGCGGGGAGTTGCGGTATCAACAAACGACAACAGCAACAACACCAACACCAACAACAACACCACCACCAGCAAAAAAGCAGCAGCAACAACAACAATACTCGAAACTGGGCCGCATTCGAAAAGGGGCTCTCCCCTGGAAGTCCCGGAACAACAACTATCACCTGTGCAAAACTGCGCAGCTAATGGATCCCGCGACTGAGCACGCCTTATCCACCGTTGGAATGACCGATCTGATTCGCGAGATTTCCCTCATGATCCCAGTGACAAAGACGATCTGGCGCAGAGGGTCACCGCTATCCATCAATCTGGCGCGGGCACGGGGCATTCCTGCCCGCCGCGCCAGTGCACCGAACCTGAAGTTGAAGCAACGCTATCCCTGCTCAAGCCAGGCAAACGCACGGTTCACCTGTGCAGCGCGGCGCTGCGGGCCAAGATTGAAAAGGGTTTCCGCTCGACGCGGGCGGTGGTGAATCTCGGCCGCGCGCTGTGCGTCACAGCCAGACTGTGGTCCCTTCGGCACTTCGCTCCTATCCGGAAGTCTAGACCGGCATCGGTGAGGAAAGTGTCTGCGCTCCACCCAATTCGCGCCTCTTCAGACATGGCTTCGATCAAGGACGCTGTGTGGATACCGCGAAATGGGTCTAAGATTGAGGCCAACTGCGGACCCTCCCAGCAGGGGTTGTCGGGGATCCAGTTTCGCTCGTGATCGCGCTCACTATGCATGCCCAACTGCGACGCGCGCAGGATCTGCCAACTTGGTTGGCCGTCGCAAACGACAAGTGGGCTTTCAATGTAGCGCCAGCGCACGGCATGCTGCGCGGCGTTTCCAAGCGGGTGTGAAGTGGGCCGATTGGTTGATGCTGGATGACATTCTAGCGCAAGATCACCAGGCCGCTGGTCTCCATAACCTGTTGTCGCCTGTCTTCGCCCTGGGGTGCGGCACAGCCCAGGGCAGGCGTTTTTTCGGCGCACGCTTGTAACGCGCAGCTGAAAACACTGCCACATGAACTCGCGGCCGCGGTGCCCGGAGATTGCGCCACCGAGGTCCCGCGCATAGCCCGGAGCGCGTTGAAATCTACGTGCGCTGACTCTCCTCCTGCTCCCGTGGAGGCGATGCCGGACCAGGCGCTGCGGGTGGCGGCGACAATCTTACACGATGTAGTTCGCGTGGCAACCTCCGAATTCCCGCCGTGGCCCAATGCCCAATAAATGCTTGCGGTTTCGCTTCGCTCCCTGCCGGCTCTCGCGGACGGAGCCGCCGTAGTCAAAGCCGCTGGCTCTTGGCACGCGCCGCCGGCGCAATTTTTCGATGACCTCACGAGCGCGTGCCCATCCGTGGGAGCTGTGAGGGCAGCGCTTTCCCCGGAGGATGCATTGGCGTATCATCCCTTACGCTAGCGGGCTCAAATCTTTTTTCTCGCGTGAGAAACAACTGCGTGTTGCCCGCCCCCGGCGCACCTCATCCCGGGCTCGCCGATTGTCGCGCCGTGGACCGCAAAATCATCTTAGGCATTTTGGTGGACTCGGATTTGACGTTCGCGCCGCTCCTCCGAGAACTCCTGGCTATTGGCCACACCCCTTTCTCAAAGCTGCTATATGCGGCGGAATCTGATTATTTGTCCATTCCAGTGGCAGCGGCACAAGTCCCATCGCGGGTGGAATCAATGATTCTTTCTGCCAACCCGCTCTTGGCGACCACGCCTGGTGCTGAAACGGCCCTGAGCAGACTGCAAGCGAATTGGGGTCGTCGGCTGTTGGGGTGCCACCACGGCCCCCTAATTCGACCCGCGGTGGTTGTCGCCCAGATGTGTCTGGCTCATGCGCTCGGGAACAAAATGCTTAGAGAAACCATTATGGCAAGGGCGCGTCTCATGGTCCTGCCGGAGGCCCACCCAAGGGCCTTGATGCTGCAAGCGGCACGTGCTTTGGCCACTCCCACGTGGGAGTCTGCCGTTGTTGCCCTCGCGCGGCGCCTGGACCCCCTCCGCCGGACCTGGA